TTAACGACATATCAACCCCCTTTGCTTTATTTAATGTTGTATATAAGTCTTATACTCATGTTTTTAAGTGATCTACTGCTCTGGGCAACTAGCCATGGTGCAAGACAGGTTGCTTGTCCAGCATTCACCTACATTAAACCGCTATGTCATGACACAGAATGTCACCCTAATGTCCTTTCAAACTTGATGCAGGAAAGTTGATGGTCGGCGTAATAGACTCATGAATGTCTGACCTAGCCCGACTGAATATATAAGTCTTATAGTAGACAAAGGAGTCCGGTACAAAAAGTTTTTAGACAGAAACCCTTATCAATACGTGAAAGAGCGATAACAGTTAGTTGATTTAGACTTCTTATTTCCTGAAAAAATATTTTAAGAGTAAGATTTTATAAATTTCAACCAACAGTAACACTGACTGCTCGGTCCATGAATGTCAAATGTTTTCTGCTTGGAAACGGTTAAAATCGTTATTGGCATTACGGTAATCAAAAACTGTATACATGGATCCGGTTTATATACAATTATTCGCCTATTTGGGAAGGGAGTCTTAATCATCTGAAAAAAGTGCAGTTGATGTATCTTAAGCTACGACAAAACTGTCATGTTGTCTTTGTTTAAAATATCCGAGGATTAGGAAGGCTGAGTATCGAAGGAAAAGAAGACTTGGTAGAGGAAACAAATAAGAAAAGGTTTTTAAATACTTATACAATGAACAGAAATACTTGAGCAAATCAAATACTACTCAAATCCTACTCTAATGTGTCTACATGCCATATTTATAAGTAGGAGCAGTTCATTGTCACAGTAGTAGGAAAGAGCAGGAAATACGCTGTGTCTAGAACGGTTGATTATTGATCTTGTTATTAATTATTGATGTTCTTATATTTTTGCAGCAGCCGATTTGTTAGGAATGGAAGTGAATGACTTGAAAACAATGCTGTTCTCAGAATCGATTGTGACCAGAGGTAGGTTTTCCAACTCTCCTCTATGTATAGCGTGTCTACAAACTTCCCTGCATTAGGTATTTGGGAAAAAAACTCAATATTATAAAAGAATTGATTTTCAGTCCGTTACACTGTCTGCATGTGACATTGCATGCAATATATATATATATATATATGTGTGTGTGTGTGTGTGTGTGTGTGTGTGTGTGTGTGTGTGTGTGTCAGTGGCGACAGCGGGGGTCGGACTTGTCGGGCTCAGCCCGAGTGAGTCAACGTTCAAGTATATCTATTTCAAAGTAACAAAAATCTTTCGTGGTGTGTCGTTTTCATTCTTGACTTCAGCTGGATCCAAAATTAATTATTTTAAGTCGGTGTCTCAAAGTATTGACCGAAATACATTTCGTTGAAAGAAAGAAAGAAAAAACAAAGAAAGTTAAAAAGAAAGAATGAAATAGAATTATGGGCTGCGTTGATCTGAGCCCTATCGAAGCTGGAGACATACTTAATAGGCAATGTATTTCGAGCTTTAGTTTTATGAATAATCTTTTAAAAATCTCTAATGACTTGTATACCCTGTTTTTCAAAGAACGCATTTTTATTTCACCTTATTGTCTTCAAATGTCCATTTTAAATAATTTATTCCGTGCAGTATAAGGTTTTTCTGAGAAAGGGCAAATCAATTTTAGCCCGACTTATATTCGACGAAAATCAAAGAAAGTGGCAGTCTTAACTCGTCGACTGGAGGCTTGGAGTGAGGAGTGTAACTGGCATATTGTTGAGGAAATATGATATCAGTCGGCAGCACTGATCATAAACGTAAAATAAATTAAACTAAAAATTCACAGACAGAGAGATATTAATACATAAACACACGAACGCATAGACATATACACACACTTTATCATCAGAGACTTGATAACCAGGCTATAAAACAATTAAAAAAATGGAAAGTGGACAATAAGCAAAGAAGCATATCAAAGACTTTAAAATGAATGTTTACTTTTATAGAATTATTACAATTAATTTTTAATATTAATTGTAATAATTCTATAAAAATAAACAAGTGTGTTTTTTGTAATAATTCTATAAAAATAAAATGTGTGTGTTTTTTTTAAATTTCAGGCACAGTGATTTTTAAAAATGATATATTTTAGGTAGAGAAAAGGAATCATTTTAGCATCTAAGTTATACCCATGGTATATTTTATTAAAGTTTGTAATTAGCCTGACAATCATCGATGATGACTACTGATATATATATATATATATATATATATATATATATATATATATATATATATATATATATATATACACAAGTGAACATAGAAGTCAACACTTAGAGGCGACAGTCTGTTTCATGCTAGATGTAATCATCAAGCCACAAGTGCTGTTATTTTTCTCGGCTATTTATGTATACGGGTCAGTGGTGCATTGTGGGTAGTCTATTATGGCGGTTATTTTAACGAAAGTCGTTTATTTGTTTATTTATTTCGGTTTAATTATTTTGCTTGTCTTTATTTATTTATTATTTTTATTTTTATTTCTTATCGGTTTGTTGGTTTATTTATTTATTTGGATGAATTTAGATTAATTTATTTTACTTGTTTTTCTATTATTTATTTATTATACTGTAAATTTTTATTTACACTTTTCTGTTATCGATTTTTAAGTAACGTAGTATTTATTTTTCTTTTATCGTTATATTAACAGTTATAGCTATTTATTTTGTTCGATTTTTGGTTTGATTTTTATAGTCTAATATTTTGGTCATAATGGTTTGTTAATTTGTTTATTATTTAATTTATTTATTTGAGTTCATTGATTTTGTTAGACTTTCCCGTGACGTGATCAAACTGGTGCTCTTTTCATCAGGTGTCAGAAGACCGAGCCGAAAACTTCGTCATGCCAAGTTCATTGGGCAGAATGCTTTCACTTCTTTCATGGCATATACTAATAGCTAATTGACTATTTGGTTTATAGTCAGTTGCCAGTCGTTCAACACCATATGATGAACACGATCAATGTTTTCTTCTGTGGTGGCAGTTACAGGGAGTCCAGACGTCAAGATTCTCCCTTCTCCTCCTAAACTTTTGCATTGTTGATAAAGCTGGGGCGTCATCTAACAACAACGTCAGCATGAATGTCCACGATGCCAAATTTTCTCCATTTTCAAGAGAAGTCGGTATTAGTTATTTTTTAAAGTCTTCTTTGAACAGTTAAATATCAGTTTACCTAAAACGAAACAATAGCAGTTATTAATAAGATTTTATGTAGAAAATATAAATCCTGACTAATCACTACACTGTTCATGGTGTCTCCAGGCCCATCTACATAATAAATGCGAATGTCAGTGTTTCACTGTGTCACACTCTTTCAACTTTACTCCTACAGGCCGTACCCCAACATATCATATCATTTTGGAATCAGGCCGACTCCATGAGCAAATTAAAAACATTGCCGGTCGGATCCGAAACCGCAATCCTGAAATTTTGGATTCCCAAGTTTTCATTATTTCTGCGTTTGTTTTCGGAATCCGCCATCTCCGTTTCTACTGATAAAAAAAATGAAAGGGACACAACTCTCTAACTTTCAATAGCTCATGTTTAAATGAAAAAATTACCGTTCTCAAATTACAATGTTTCAAAAATAAAATTGTTCGTCTTCTAGAGACCACAGCTCACCTTATCATACCATTCTGGAATCAGGCCGACTCCGTAAGCAAATTAAAAACACTGCGGGCCGGATCCGAAACCGCAATCCTGAAATTTTGGATTCCCAACTTTTCATTACTGCGATTTTTTACGCGATTATTTGCGACGAAATTTTTTGTACGATAACAATTTTTATAACTTGGAAATAAATTTGGGAGTATTCGAAATTAATTACGAAATCCAGCAAAAGACAACCATGAAATGAAAATAATTGTTTGTACGGAAAGTAAGGACCTACATACATCAAACTGTCTTTAAATTAAGTGGTGATCAATTTTGAGTTCTTCTGGAGTTTATTGTTGCCTATTGCATCTACTCCTCCCTACCTATTGTGATGAAGGCCCGACCAAGAACCCTTCACAGGAGGTAGCTTAAATGCCGCCTGATAGGACGGCTTTTAAGATAGTTTAAAATATTTTACAAGCTCACTTTTGGGCCTAAGGGTCCACGTTGAAAATCAACGCTAATCTACAAAATATTTCCCAAACTTTTTTTTCTCCGTATTTTTACGAGTGAACAAGTCTATTTAATGCCTAATGTACTAACAACAGCAGGTTGTAATGTTGGTCATAACTAAGCGGATCAATAGCAAAGCTCTTGAACGCGAAAGCTGTGTTCAACGACTGAGATAGCTCAAAACTTCATTCGAGAAAATTTGCTCAGATTTTTAAATGTTTGGGTTCAGATGGGCTTAAATTTGGAATAGAAAAGAAAATAGACATTATGCTCCAACAAATATCGTTATTTTATGTATGAATTTATGTCTTTCGTTATCTGTGACTTTTTCCAGATGAAACTATATTCAGGCTGCGGAAGAAAGAAGACGCTGAAGAAATCCGAGATGCTCTGTCAAGAGAAATTTATGCCCGAATTTTCCATTGGATTGTAGACCAAATAAACAAACACATGGAAACAAATTCTCATTGCAATGATGTGCAAGTCAGGCAAGTTATCCTCTTATTTATTTCGTTTTTATTTCAGTAAAAAGAAAAAAAAAGTATTAAATATTTTTCTTTCGTAAATTTAATTAGGAAAAACATTATCTGTCGGTGAGAATGGATTTTTTTATTATGGATTATTCTGGATATTTCACAAAAGCTCGCACTGGTTTTCAAAATAGAAAATATTTTAAAATGTAACATTTACGTTTGCCTCCTGAATAAACGGAGGTATCATATTGGAATTGGAATCGGATCTTTAAATTTCAAAAAATTTAATAAACACTTGGTATTTTTAAGTAAAACTGAAGTACTCTTTTTTTTTTTTTAAATTTTGTTGTTTCTCCTTTGAGCGAATTTTATGTTTTCTGTTTTATTATCACATCCATCATTATTATTATTGGCTTACGGTCATATCATGCTGAAACACCGGTTCGCGTACGATCACCGAAGTTAAGCAAGCTCGTGGTGAGCATCTAGATGGGTGACCGCTTGGAAATGCCAAGCGTTATGAGCTTGGATGTGCAGGTGGTGTAATGGATAACGGCTTGGAAAGAGAAATCGATGAGCCGAGATCGAATTCCAGTTGAGTTCGTTAGGTTCACTTTCGCATAAATACGTTTGGGGAAAAGTATGATGCCCCTCCCTCAGCTATCTGTTAATTAGTAAATCTATCACTAAACCATTATTTTTACCCCCACCCCACAAAAAATATGCTTAGAAGCAAAAAATATTTTCTCGCTTTACATAACTTGCAAAGGGTTGATAACCGTAAAAAATGAGTCTGTCTATATTTCTGAGATGAGGTATTATGTACACTATTTACATTATTCGGACTATTGTCCTCATCTTTGTCGCCATATTTATCACAACGTTTCGGCCGTTGTACGCTCCGGCCTTCTTCAGGTGGTTGGAATTTCGAACTGAACCCTTTATTTCGCTCACTGGGGTAGACTGTTCAAGGACACATGGCACAGTGGATAAAGGCGTTGGTTAGATCCAGTGACAGGACCCAAAGAGTGTGAGATCAATACCCGTTTAAGGCAGTGGAGAACTTTCAGAGGGAAATTAGCAGGAGATAACTGATAACTGACATCCATTAAACATGGCACGTGGAACTAGAACAGTCTACCCCAGTGAGCGAAATAAAGGGTTCAGTTCGACATTCCAACCACCTGAAGAAGGCCGGAGCGTACAACGGCCGAAACGTTGTGATAAATATGGCGACAAAGATGAGGACAATAGTCCGAATAATGTAAATAATGTACGTAAAAAATGAGTCAATCAATTTTCTGTTGGTAAGAATTTTATTACGCGGTATCGAGTTCCCTTTTTGGATATTTCACAAAAGCTAACTGCTGTTAAAAACAGAAAATATTCTAAAAAGAAATTTTTACCTTTCGAATAAACGGAGGTATCATATAAGAAGGGCGAGGTGGGGGGGTCTTTAAATTTCTAAAAATTTAATAAATGCGGGGGCACTAAATGGAAGTGGGGTACTTTTTTCCTTTTAATACTTTTCCTTTAAGAGAGAGAGAGAGAGAGAGAGAGAGAGAGCTTACGACCATATCGCGCATATTTGGCTGCACTGTGTTTACCCTTAGGGCCTTATCAAACTATACGAGGACCATTCTAACTCAGGGGTCCCAAAAACTTTTAGCCTGGCAAACCCTTCATGAAATCCTTAATCTCTCATTACCCCCCCGATATATTCAGAAATATCAATAATAACAATAATTCTTTTTTTGTTGTTTTGTTTTTTCTTTTTTAATTTAAGAATAGAAATTCCTTGGACATTTTCCTTCATTATCTTTTCTCGTAATTTTACCTTGAAATTTTGTTTTTCCTTTTTAAATGTCTATTTCTCTTCCTATAATAGGTCTGTTTATTATTATTATTATTATTGTAATAATATAAATAATAAATTAATAAAGTAAAATAAATAATAAAATATAACAATATAATAAATAATAAAATAAATAAAATAATAAAATAAATAATAAAAAAAATAAATAAAAAATAATAAAATAAAATAATAAAATAAATAAAATAATAAATAAATAATAAAAAATAAAATAAAAAAATAATAAAATAAACAATAAAAAATAATAAAATAAATAAATAATAAAATAAATAATAAAAAAAATAAATAAAATAAATAATAAAAATAAATAAAATAAATAATAAAATAAATAAAATAAAAAATAAATAATAAAAAATAAAGTAAAATAAATAATAAAATATAACAATAAAATAAATAATAAAATAAATAAAATAATAAAATAAATAATAAAATAAAATAAATAATGATACACCACAAAACAGAAAATTTGTATTTTATTCCTATTTTATGGATAAATATTACAGATAATTTCAGCCTGTCATGTGTTTGTTTTGTTTTGTAACTTTTTAAAAGAAATGGGATGACATAGATATCTTCCTTCCCTGTAGATATACATACCACGTCACCTGTTATCTGAACCTTCATTCAGTGATTGATTTGAAATATATATAGATTGTAACAAACCATATTTGTTAATCGACCCGATTCCCGAAGCATTCAGGACACCAAACATCTATCAGCCTCATGAACTCTAGTCTGGCATCAGTATTTACTAATCTTAGCCTAGTAGGGCATAAGGTTACATATATAGAGCACTCAGTGGAGACTGAACTACAAGAACTAACATTATGACCTATTACTTAAAGGCGAAACAATCATATTTGTGAAGATTAGTTTTTTTTCTTACGGTACAAGACAAGAATTGATTTCATTTTTATTCCAATTGACTCTTCATAGAATCGTTTCTTGAAAAAGATTTTAGCTTTTCATTTTGTTATTCCTTTTTAAATTTTTGTTTTCCTTCCTATATTAAACGTGTTCTTTATTATTATTATTATTATTAATAATAATAATAATAATAATAATATTATAGTTAATAATAAATATATTTAATACAAATATAACTTTTCATTGAATTGATGGACTTCATTAAAGGGGAGGGTGTATTTCATGAGCAGTAGTAAGGGCATTGATATTTGGTTGGAAATTGCTAAGTCCTCATGTTTTATTTATCGACCCCCAAGAGTCCGTATCGACCATTTTAAAGACTCTAGTAATTGAATATACTGAATCCCGCAGAAAAAGAAAAATTGAAAACACTGTCTCCATTATGAAGTGAAAACAGGGGTGGAGGAAATTAGAGCCAGCAAAATGGTGGCCTTAAATCAACAGGGGTCCTGGACAAAATGGGAAAAATAGAAGAAGAAGAATTCGTATATGCAGTCTACGACACGTTACCTAGCCCAGTAAACATCCACATGTGGGGAAAAGATTGAATCTTCACGTTGTCCGTTGTGTCTGAAGAAATGATCTCCCTCCATCATGTGGTGAACAGTTTTCCCAGGGCGTGAGTGAATGGCGTTAGCGGTGGTGCCATGATAAACTTTTAAGAGCAAGCGCAGAAATAGTCTTGAGGAGTCACCAAATAAAGAGATATGAACCTGATAAGTAGCTAATGAATTTCATCAGAGCAGAGAGAAAGGTAACGACACTACAGAGGAAGAAAACTTCAGTCCTATCTCAGACTGGTAAATGAGAGTACACATAGGCAGACAGTTAAAATTCCCAGTGAAAATAATACACACATAGCAGTGCTCAGACATGTTTTTTTCTTCGGATAAACCAATGCAAGTTATCCTGTTAGAATTAACAGTCCTTTAGGAAGAGAATATGGACGAAGCCAACGAAGGGAAGTATAGGAAATATTTACATATAGTAGAGGAATGCGGAATTGGCAAGCTCAGTGAGAACAGATTGAAATAGGATACAGAGGTTTCGCTGGACGGCTACTTCGCAAGATGCTGTCAAAATTAGGGGTAATGTGCTTGGAAAAAACCAGGAGCATTCGGTCAATATCTATGGCAGCAGACGAAACCTCTAAGTGGTTATAACTGAAAAAGTCAAGTGATTGTCAGTCGGCAAGATAGTGCAGGGGAATTATGATTGATGTTTCGATTTTGCGTTCGCTTCCTTCTTTATAGAAGAGCGCAGAATCTGGTAAATCAGAAGTTTGTGATTGGACAATAAAATGCTAGACGAATACGAGTCGCAGTGGATTGCGTGCATTATGAGAACAGTTGTAGCTGATAGATGGTATACATGTTGATATCCGATCAGTATCGACTGGGTCACCCTGTTGAAAGACCCAAAACCCCTAATGATCCCCGATTAAAAGATCTCTGATCATGTGTTCCAAACCATCAAACCGATGCAAACACGAACAATCAAGATCGGTAAATATTCATTTTTTCATAACCAGAATTGTTTGCCATCATAGAATTGTAATAAACAAGGTGGAGATCAAATAAAGTTGCAGTTGGGTGGGGGTCTCTTAATTTTCAAAATATTAATAATATTTGCAACATGTTTATTCGAGAGGTAAGTTTAAAACCTCGCTCATTGAAAATCAAACTCACAGTTATGACACTCTACGAGGCTAGCTTGATAGGAAACCACGGTGATATATTTTTCTACTTAAAAATTAAGGTATTCTACCTTTAAACGTTTACTATATCATAAAGACCTATTGAAAAAAAAGTGATTAGGCTGTACTGTAATTCTTGTCTATCGAAATGAACGCACTGAACATGCACACAACAAAGTAGTGCCATAGTAACGATGTGTTTGTTTTCTTAAATGATCCGTGAATTGTACACGGTTATAATTCACTAACATTTTAACGTTAGAAGCAACGCCATTTTAGTAACTGTGCTCAAATTCTAAGATTTACAAGTAACTCATTTTTAGCCATTGTACTCAAATTGTAAAAAGATTTACAAGCAACTCATTTTCGCAACTGTACTCAAATTCTAAGAAGATTTACGAGTAACTCGATTTTTAGCAACTGTACTCAAATTTAAAAAAGAATTATAAGAAGATTTACAAGCAACCTTTTTTTGAGAAACTGCATTCAAATTGCAAGACGACTTACAAGCAACTCATTTTCGCAACTGTACTCAAATTATAAGAAGATTTACAAGCAACTCATTTTTGCAACTGTACTCAAGTTCAAAGAAGATTTACCAGTAACTCCATTTTTAGCAACTGTACTCAAATTTTAAAAAGAATGTACGGTTGTCAGTAAAAAGAGCAATCCAGTATACGAACTATGAATTGGAAACTCTAAAAGTAAACAAGTATCAAAAAATTAACTATCTAGGAATTGTTTTAACAGAATTCGGAAAGTGCGACATCGAAATCCGAATGTGCATTGGAATAGCGAAAAAGTTTTTCTAAGAGTTAAGCAAAATATTAAGAAACAGGAAATTTTCGTTAGAAACAAAGAAAAAAGTAATGGATTGTTTTATGATATCGGTCCTCCCCTATATGGCAGTAAACGCTGGACAATCCCCGCACAAACGAAGAAGAAACTTGACGCAAGAGAAATGTGTTTCCACAGAAGGATGTTGAGAATACCATGAACCGAACATGTGAGAAACGATGAAGTTTTAGAGAAAATAGAAACACATATACTTAGAATCAGAGAGAGACAATTGAAATTCTAGAGTATATAATGAGGAAAGAGGGTCTGGAAAATTTAGCACTCACGGGGCATGTTGAAAGCAAGAGGAACAGAAGAAAACAGAGAGCAATCTACGTAACGAACTTGTGTAAATGATTGACAGAACAGAGATTGGGAGGGATATCAAAAAGGCAATCACTAAAAGCAAAAAAGGATAAAGTTCTAAAGAAACATGATCGTCCACATCCTAAAGGGTTACGGCACACAGAAAAAGAACTCAAATTTGATTAAATGTTAAGCTCTTGACTCGGTGTGGCTTAAGCAAGAGAAAATAAAATTAAAAGAACAATAAAGAAAGAAAGAATGACGCAAAATTAAACAAAAAACAGTTAAACCTCTGCAAGGTACAAAAAAAAAAAAAAACTATATATAGTTTGAAGATATGTTGAAATTAACTGTCAAAATAAACCGGTAGTATAAATCCTCTAAAACACGTTCGTCTTTGAAAATTTCTTTATTTTTCGACGTCAACCCTCTCCATTAATGCTGAAGGAATTTCTTTAGCCCTTGAAGTAAACTCGGCGTAATCTAAATTTGGCCTATTTGTCTCTCGTTATTTTTTTTTCTCTCTCTGAGATGACAGATGAAGTCTACTTTTAAATCGTTTTACCTCGTTTTTAATGCTAATTCTGTTTATGGTTGAACGTCTTAAAATAATCAACGATCCTCTTTGATGAGCGTTTATCGAAAAGCCGCCCGCTTATGAGGAACCATACCACTTGTTTCTTTTGATGGTTGCCTTCGGCCATATCACGTTGAAAAACCGGTTCTCATCCAATCACTGAAATTAAGTAACGTTGAACCTGGTCAGTACCTACATGAGTGACGGCTCGTGAATATCAGGGGCTGTAACCTTGGAACTGCGGGGGGGGGGGGGGTCCGAATGGATAACGGTTCGAATTCCAGTCGGGTTTGTTATATCCTCTTCCGTGCAAATATCCTGGGAAAGGTTTGAATCCACCTCTTCTCCTATCAGCTATGGATTAAATAGTAAGAGCAGTAAAAAAACAAATCAGCCAGACTTTTGATAGTTATTTTTAACATCTTTTCGCTTCTTCAAACAAAAGGACTTACTAAATATGTTATTTTATAGTGTATTCAAGAATCTGACAAATTCTACTAATTTCGTTACACTGAAATGTCTTTCATTTCAGTTTATTATACTATGCATAAAAAAAATTAAGCAACTTTAGTACTAATTCCTGCACAAAAAATTAAGCAACACGAGTCCGGGTTAAAATCCTAAGTTGCTTATGCGGAGATTACCTTCACTTGGTCGCGGGTGTCGCTTCCTAGGACTATAAAAGGAAGGATATAAGCTATTTCTTCCTCTTTTTCGTTTTAGAAGGCGGTAGATAGAACTCATGTCTAGTTTTACCTCTGAAGAAACTTGGTTACCCAGCTACGTGTTGCATCTCACACACACCCGCCGAATAGATTTTAATTCACACATTTCCTAACAGCAAAGGCTTCACTGATTTACTTCCTTTTTAGGTATCTGTATATTTACTTATTCTTGAATTATGTTATTCTTTATATAAACAAGGTATATGTAAAATTCCTCCATCTGTTGAAATTTAGACTTTTTATTTAAAAATGTCGAACGCAATTTCTTTGAAAGCTAATAACTTTGCTTTTGCAGCTATACTCCATTTTTGGTCTGATCTGACCCTTGTCAGAAATTCGGATAACTTGGCGCTTCAATCAGTTAATACTGAAGCAGGGTGAACGTTTTGATTGGATATAAAGTTTAAAATAAATTTAAATCAAGTGATGATGCGTCAAACAAATTTGAAGTCTGCAGAGGCGAGTATCTGATTTTAAATATATTCCCCTGGGGTATTAGAAACACTTCTATTTGCACTGAGAAATGTGTAAGCTTATGTTATTTTCTCCTTTATAGTGGTCCAGTGATTGGAGTACTTGATTGGTTTGGCTTTGAAGTCAATAAAGTGAACGGTTTCGAACAAATGTGTACGAATGCCGTAAGTGAAATGCTGCAACGCCTTTTTCTGAACACTGTCTTCGTCGAAGATCTTCGCCTATACAAAGAAGAAGGCTTAGCAATTGAAGCTGATTTCCCAGATAATCAACCAACGGTAGATCTTTTCTTCACGGTAAGATTTATTATTATATTAAAAGAAAACAGTTTAACCATTGAAAATGTTAGTTGGCTGGCTGGTTGGTTAGTTGGTTGGTCTCCTATTCCGGGGGTAGACAGTGTTTGATGCTGGAGTTTTGGAGTTCATTTCATAGAGCAATGGGGAGACACGAAGCTGCACCAATCATGTCTTCATTTATCTGCGTAGGCTCTCATTTTCTTCACTCATCGTGACATGACAGTGTCGATACTTTTTTTTTTTAGATATTTGCTCATAAGAGAATATAATCAGAGGTGCGAATGATGGAATTGTTCTCAGTACAGAAAACAGAAAAGAATTGATGGATAGTGTAAGGAGACACGGTGGAATAATGGACAGCGGCTCAGATTGAGGAATCGGAGAGCCGAGTTCGAATTCCAGTTGGATCCATTACATTCACATGCCTTGGGAAAGGTATGAATCCTCTTCTTCTAAGTTATGGGTAAATAGCACGACAGACTGGGTTCTATAAGAAAAGTAACCTGGCATAGCACATATTATACAGCTAAAAATTCGGAGTGAGACAAGATTGCTAATCATTAGCCCAGGTCGAAGTGGCCAAGGCGCCTGTGATTAAGCCTGTGAATGCAAATAGCTTAATTTGTAATATCAAGACTAGCACTTTCTCGCCTTTAAAATTTTTTTTTTGATTTGTTGTTGTTGATTTTTTTTTTTTGGAGGGGGGTTGTTGTTTTTTTTTGGTGGTGGTGGTTAACTTTTAGAAACCAATATTCACCTCATGTCATCTACTCGACGTTGATCGGATTATTGCAATAATCGTTCATTAAACTTAGGGTAAACAATGACAGTTGCGATATCTTTTTCATTTTAACATTGGTTCTACTTAGTTGATCATTTTCGACTTCACAAATCCGGAAAGAGCGATAACGTTGAATTTCAACCAATCATGTTAAAGGCAACCTCATGTAAATTCATGCATATGATTTTGAGTTCCGGACTAGTGAATGCTGAATACTTTGCTGGTGTTAATACCTCAAAGCATTTTCATGCGTTTCCTTGAGTTGCGAACAGAACGATTTGAACTTTTTGTTTTCAGGATAATGCTTATTTTCTATATGACTCGTCGTTCTTTAAATTCCATCAGAAGCGGAACGTGTTTGATGACAAAATTCCTATTCTGGTTAATGTGCGCAATATTTTTTTATAATAAAACACAGTTATAGGCGCGAAATGTTGGATTGACGATCCGAGTTCAATTTTTGACCGATGCCCTTTTTTCACACAAAAGTATGAATCCATGTCTTACTGCTATAGGTCAAATAGCAATGTAAACTGGGCTAACTAACCTTGATTGGCAACAGACTAGGAGAAGGGCAACTCTGAATTCAAAACTGATTGGAGGTAAGGTTAGCAAACGTACTTGCTATGAAAACCGAAATGGTACCCAATATTGTGAAATTATGACTGTATACTCTACAAGCAACCTACAGAACCAAACGAGCAATGGATTTGAATGGCTCTTGATTATACCTTATCTTAAAACTGTTCAGTCTGGTTCTTGCTTCTCGCAGATAATGTGCCGTCGAATCTCAGGTTTGCGAAGTACATCCAACCAGTATGGTGTTTTTATATTGTTCGTTTGTTTGTTTTTCTTTTCACGGCTCCGACCGAGAGCCATCTTGTATATGTATCGAACCTTTCCGCTTAAACAATCCGACATCTTTGAAATATGAGATCTGTTTTTTTCAGTTTCAAAAATGTGGCAAACAGCTTTTCAGACCAATCAGATTCAGCGCTGAAAATGTTATCCAATCAAAATGATTTCTAGAATGAGCTGGTCGTTTGGGGTCAACAACAACAACAACGAAAAACGTTTACTTAGGAGGTAGAACCCCTGTTAAATTTTATTTTTACCCTTACTTAATAAATCTGTTGACAACAAAAGTCTTGGTAGGTGGAGATGGTGGTTTGTTTGTCAACTTTTGAGCGAAACTGAAAATGCAAATGAGCCTCGAAACAAGAACAAGACGTTCCTACACTCAACAAATAAATTCTCTGCTTAAAGGTGTTTCTTCGATTTAAAAAAAAAAAAAAAAAACTTCATGACTAAAATTTACAAAGTTTATCTTAGGCCAGGGGGGAACAAACTAGAAAACCCCGCACGTAAACACGCATGATATTCTTATGCGACCTACAAACATTAATTATTTATGGAATGCTGGGAAATGGATTGGACCGGAAACTTTTCAGCTTTTTCTGTTGTAGAGCCCTCAAAGAGATTCGAAATTATGCGAGCAAACTAACACAACAAATATATTTTAAAATATTTTGGTATTTTTTGGTTAAATGTTGTACAAAATAATATAGTAATCTATTCAGAAACAGTAATAAAGACCCCAAAGGTGCAAACAATGTATATTTAATAGTGAAACCCAATTTTCAATAAGCACACTTTCTAAAAATGTCAGCATATCGCATTATGTATCTGGGTCGGGTACCCACACTTTGCTGATGTCCAGTCTTGATCCCTGTCACAGTATGAACTACTGTGGGGATCTAGGTGCCTGTGTGTACATAAGATGTCGTTACTACGCTTTACTATAAACGTCTCACGAGATTTATCGAGAATTTCTTATTATAATAAAATATTTTTCTCGGATATACAAATCTCATAATTCAATTTTTGACCGATGCCCCTTTTTTCACACAAAAGTATGAATCCATGTCTTCTTCTTACTGCTAGAGGTCAAATAGCAATAGTATTGTCTATGCGAAACTCGGCATTGTATTTCTGTGTCGTGCCAGAAAGTTTTTTCTCGCCCAAGTCCATCCTTCAAATCTATAAATCAACCATTTGCCCTTGCATGGAACACTGCTACCATATATGGTTTGGTAGCCCCCCGCTGTACATCACGAGGTCCTTGACAAAATCCAGAGACGAATATGCAAGATGATAGGTCCTGATCTGGGATTTAGTCTACAATCGCTATCCCACATACGTGCTGTGGCCTCCCTATGTCTCTTCTACAAGTATTTTCACGGCATCTTTTCCGGCGAGCTACTGTCACTGGTTCACGCACTACATAACTTTAAACCTGCTACAAGGCTGGCATCTCGGTTCCACCTTTTCACTGTCAAAACGGTTAAATGTAACCGTCTCTTCTACTCAAACAGCTTCTTCTCTCGCACTTCCAGTCTGTGGAACTCCCTTCCCCTTACTTGCTTCCCCGATGACTATAATCTTTAAATATTCAAGTGTAATGTCAATCGACATCTGACACCCTGAGCTTGTTCCCCGTCCTTCTCTGTATCCCTTCCTCAAACACACCTCTTTACTCTTGTTCTCAATCCTTTGTAACCCCTTGCGTGCTAATGGCACTCCCGTCTTGCTTGGGGTGAATTGCCTTAAAAAATTAGCGAATGTATTGAACATTAAACTAATTCCTCATATATTTTTGAAGTCTGATCACAAAATGCAATAAGCAAATAAATATACAAATAACATGCACGTATAGGATTTTTATTTATATTGTCTATGTGAAACTCGAGTTGTTGTGTTACAGCCAACTTTACACACGGTCAACAATCATGCGGCGCACCATGAGAAAAAAAAGAAGTTTTCCTACTCCTTGACTTAGTCTGTCATGAAGCCACATGAGTAGGGGCATTTATTGATTATAGAAATCGGTGTAGTCGTAATTGAGTCAGCCACCTATTCAAATTAACTCTTTTTACACTCCAGGGCGGAAT